TCAGCAGTGGTTTTCGTCTTGGAACTCTGCCATGCAGGCCATTTTTGCCCAGTCTCTTTCTTATGGTGGAGTCATGAACACTGACCTTAACTGAGGCAAGTGAAGCCTGCAGTTCTTTGGATGTTGTTGTGGGGTTTTTTGTGACCTCTTGGATGAGTCGTCGCTGCGCTCTTGGGGTAATTTTGGTCAGCCGGCCACTATTGGGATGGTTCACCACTGTTCCATGTTATCGCCATTTGTGGATAATGGCTCTCACTGTGGTTCGCTGGAGTCCCAAAGCTTTAGAAATGGCTATATAACCTTTTCCAGACTGATAAATCTCAATTACTCTGTTTCTCATTTGTTCCTGGATTTCTTTGGATCGCAGCATGATGTCTAGCTTTTGAGGATCTTTTGGTCTACTTCACTTTGTCAGGCAGGTCCTATTTAAGTGATTTCTTGATTGAGAACAGGTGTGGCAGTAATCAGGCCTGGGTGTGGCTAAAGAAATTGAACTCAGCTTTCCAAAGATGTGATAAACCACAGTTGATTTATGTTTTAACAGGGGGGGCAATCACTTTTTCACAAAGGGCCATGTAGGTTTGGATTTTTTTTCCCCTTAATAATAAAAACATTCATTTAAAAACTGCATTTTGTGTTTACTTGTGTTATCTTTGTCTAATATTTCAATTTGTTTGATGATCTGAAACATTTCAGTGTGACAAACATACAAAAAAATAAGAAATCAGGATGGGGGCAAACACTTTTTCACACCACTGTATGTTTTAGATTTTTATTCATATTTCCTATTATTTACTTTCTTTCTTCTGAAAATATGAATGTCCGATACTCCATTCGTACCACTTTTTATTTAAACAGCCGAAACATATGTTTCATACAGCATATGATTTGAAAAGACCAAAACAATTGTAATTATCTAGTGCTGAATTCAGAGGTTTTAAAATTTTCAGAAAAGTTTTAAAATTTTATAGAAAATGGAATTCTGCTTTCTTAATTAGAAGATTATTTTCTCTGAGTTTCTCTCTTATGGTGCAGTTTATTTAGCTATAACTTTATCAAGTCAAATAACAATGTGATCCTTTTACCCAGAATTAAAACTTTTGAACTCCAAAAGCAACTTTCACAAAACATTATGTGAATTTATGTCCATATTACGATATTAATATTAATATGTAATGGAAGTATAGTATTTTGGAGTGACAGTCAAAAAACAAACGTTTCTTGCTTGACTTTATATTGTTGGGTGCTTTTGCCAGTTCTTTCTAGGTGATCCACAGCTCCTGTACGTTTCACTCTAAAGGGAAATTAGAGGCTTTCTTCACACTGATTGATAAATAGCACCACCTAGAGGAGATTTTGGGGAAACCGGTCTGGTTTGGGGAATATAATAGTCTTGCTGTAGTCTAGCCAAGTGCTTAGTTCTCATTGCCAAGTAAGAGCATTCAACCTTGCTGACCTCCTTAATCCAATTACACTGGCTTGGTCGAACCCATTTCTAATATTCTATAGAGTCAATAGGTCAAGGTTATTTATCCTACAGGTTTTATTTTTGATAGTCTTGTGAAGTTGGTTATCCATACACCTAAGAGTACGTGTTGAGACAAAGCACAGCTCTACAGTTAATCTACTTTACAATCATGTCTTTGTCCTTGATTAACATTTTATGCATCACTCCCTTTCTTTCAGTGCTTTACAATATTTCCACTGTTCCTTGGTTTGCTGATTCCCCAAACCTACTATGTGATTATCCATGCATTTAAACACATTCACAAGGCTTTTTATATTCCCCTACAATGATCAACCTTGACATCACTCAGTTTAACTTTGATTTCTGTGTGACGCTCCATGTTTGTTTCATCTAGAACCACGGTAGTCTTATTAAACTGCTGATTTCCACTGGCTACGTTCAGGTTATGTTTGGACAGTCACATGATCTAGTCAGTTACTCTTTGCAAAATGTCAATGTGCCCCTTCCTTGCCTTTTTAATTCACAACAATTCAAGACCACAGTAGGCCATTTAAATATAAGAAATCATTCTTGATTTAAATCACAATTGCTTACTGGGAAATGGAACTGCAATGTGCAGTAACTGTGATGATCATAATAAATCCTCTGTCATGCACACTTGTTCGTTCATGGTTCATGAAACATTGTTGCTGTTAGTTTAGAGGAGTAAGTCCTTTTGAATATTTATTTTTAGCACATTAATGACATGGTTAAATAATGAAGACTTTATTTGTATCTTTTCTTGTAAAGATTGTTGAAGATTCACATAAAATGTTGTGGTTAAAATGAATTTTTCAATGCCGGGCATTATTGGCTATTAATCTGGATTATAATTTTATACAGTATACAGTATTATTCTGAAACAAGGAAAGAGTTTTAATTGTCATGCCACACCTGGCTCAAATAATCTAACTTTCTTCTGGGTAATACTTAACACAGCAAAGATTGCTAGTTTAAAAAATATAGTGCTCTCTCTACCTGGAAAAAGTGGAATATCTTGATGTGCTTATTTTTAACATGTTTAAATGTTACATTTTGTGGGGGTATTTCCCCATTAGCTCCAATTCTTTAAATTTAAGTTCTGGGTTGTGTGCCTTTCATTTAATTATTGAAATCATACATAAAACTCACCAAAAAGTTGTGTTAACATTCTATCTAAAATATTTTGGTATTTTTTAATTTGGTTATGTGATTGATTATTTTCAGGAATTGTATTCTAAATATAATATATAACAGTAAATAACCATATTTGGTATTATTTAATTCCCTTTAAAATATTTTTTTTTACCTAAAATCTTTACCCTTTAGGTGCCACTTAACAAACGCCCTTTAAGGAATATATACAATATTCATTTTTGAGACACCTGTCATAATAATGCTTCACAAGGACAATTTTGACAACATTTCCAAGCGTAAGCAGTGGTTATCTTAGTAATAATTATTTATAAATGTGAAAGAAAAATGCTCTAATCTTTTTAAATATTTGGTAAGATTTGAAAATTAAAAAATGAATCCAGAAATTGTTAACATTGTACAGTATGAGCATACTGTATCGCGTCAATGCTTTAAATTCCTCTTTGCAATTCTTAAACATTTTTTTCCGGGTTCTTCTACAGTGCTTCAAGTTGTAGCATGGTATTTTGTTTCAGTACAGTTTCTTGTGCTTTTATCCTACAGCTGTCGCATTTTCAATCAGGATACATTGAGGGGAAGTTCACAGCCAGGGACACATTAGTAACTTCCATGGGACAGCAGTTGGAGAATGTGAGACAGAGTGGCTATCCTATTTGGAATAATTATGTTTTGCATAGCTGTCCCTTGGCTTAGTTTGCACATTCACCTCTTTAGGTGTTTGTGAAAGGAAACACTGTAAGCCTGCTGATGAATTAATGCTGGCTTTAAATTGAGGAATGAATTCGCCAGAGGCAGAAAATAAATCACCTTTTTTTCTGACAATGCCCTGCTTAACTGTCCATAAACTAGGGGAAGTAGTGTTGGGGAATTAGTATTCCACACAGATACGTTTGAGATTACAGTGCGATTTCTATTTACTTCTCTAGAAAGGAAGCAGTCTCACATGAACAGCTCTGTCAGGAAATTTAATAGAATAAATAACAAAGGGAGTGTTTAGTGTGTGGGTTGCATCAAGGGCTTTTAATTATATGAATTTTGTCCTGATAAATTTGGGGAAAAAGGGAAGAAGAATTATCTTCAATACAAAGTGACAATTTCATGAAGAAGTAAAAAGATTGTTGAGTTTTTAATTAACTTTGAAGCTCATTAAGATGTTTAGAGGATGCTGTTTTTACATTGCAGTACTTTTTACATTGGAAATTGCTGTTGTATAAGTGACTAGAGCACACCTTTTGTTTTGTAAATGCTGATCTCATAGAACTGGTGCCTTCACAGCTGGAAACATACAGTATCTCAAATTTTAGACACATCAAGTTCATTTCTTTTTAAAATAATTGATTTGTTCAGTTAAATATCCGTATCAACAGTCTTGTTTGTCATTGCCAACAAGAAATGCAATGTTACTGAATATAAAAGAACTGTAAAACTACAGAATACATTAAGGGTGAGCCTTTATGTACATTTTGTCTTTGAAAACAATGTTATAGGAGTGTCTTTCTCACTTGCTGACATTTTCTCTGTTTGATTTGCAAAGTTACACTCTCGGCATCACAGTTTTGAATGACATACACATAGTATGATGACATGCATGATAAGCAGTACAATTCCAAGAGCCTTCAGGACTGTTTTGCCTCTTTTCATCATCTCTAGCATTCGCTGCAGACAATAGAAGCCCGCATGGATACAATACTTCAGATTGAAACATTTGCATTTTACAAATAATGGAAAAGTACATTTCAGAATGTGTAAAGTTGAAGTAACACTCCATAGAATGGAAAAAATGAGACGTACCTGTATATAATGACATGAATGTGTGGAAGCCCTTTTATTTTAAAGTTATATGTACTGGAAGACTGTACAAAAAGATTGATTTTGTGTGATGCAGTGTGACACTGAAGGCTTTTGTGCTGTAGAAGAAAAACAATTTTGTTTAAAGAAATACAAAAGAATCAAATTAAAGAACAAAACAAGAGCTCTGTGATAATGTTTCAGACATATTGATACTGTATATCAGATACTGTATATACTGTAAATCTAGACTGTAACTCAGAAAAAAGGAAGGAGGAAAAGACCTGGACTCAAGAATTGATCTTCCTCAAATAGGCTCAGCTGTTAACAAGACTGTGCTCATCTATATGGAGCCTGAGGCATCTGAGTCATGGTTCACTGATAACCTATACAATGAGAATTAGGCATTTGGTTGCATTGTAATGCCAATCAATCAGTCAATCAGATAGCTCTAAGGAGACAGAACTGCAGCTAATTACCCAAATAAGAGCGGCTCGCCAAATAACTCCCCATAGTTGTGCTGTGTGTCATAAGCATCTCTGACCCGGGATCTTTTGTCATCCTTTTGCAGATCATCCTGGTCAGCTCTTCTATCAATGAGCGGGATCAGATGCTGTTCATAAGCACAGATGAGGGAGCCAGCTTTCAGCGACAGCCTCTCTCCTTCACCGTCGAGACTCTCCTTTTCCATCCGAAAGAAGAGGACAAAGTGCTTGCCTACAGCAAAGAGAAAAAGGTAATCTCTCATCCAGCTGAACAGTTCACGAAACATCACTCCCTGTGATTTACCGCAGGGCTGTGTGTGACTTTCACAGGTTATTGTTTCCAGGTCGTGACTAATTTGATGCTTCCGGGACTAGTTGTGGGAGACAAGTGGTGCAGCTGCCTCCCAATGCTGGGTCCCTGGGTTCGATTCCAGATTGGGGTGCTATCTGCATAGAGCATGTTTATTCCCCCTGTGTTCACCTGGGTTCCCTTTGTGTGCCCTGGTTTGCTCCCACAATCCAAAAACATACTGGTAGATTACTTGGCTACTGGAAAAATTGGGCCCTGTGAATGTGTCTGTGTGTGCCCTGTGATGGACTGGCATCTTATCCAGGGTATATCCTGCTTTGCGCCCATTGTTTGCTGGGATAGGCTCCGGCTCCCCTGTGACCCTCAGTTGGAGGAAGAGGTCAGAAAACGGTTGGATATACTGTATGGGCCAGTTGCCTATTCAACCTGCTACATTTTAGTTCTTCATAAGAGGAGCTATGTATCTTCTTGGATGTTGAATAGCCCTACCTTAAGATTGGACAGATTTACCTCAAGAAAAAAGAAAGAGAGGTTCCTTGAAATCATCCCAGTCATTTAAAAAAAAGTGGAAATTATTTTTAGGAGCCACTGTAAATAACACACAAAGTAATGCTATTAATGTATGAAGTATGAGTTGATAATTAGTTGATTATGAAATAAGCAGCTAAAAACTACTTTGTGAAAATACTTTGTTAAGCACGCATTAATAATACAGTAGTGATTTATTAGGGAGAGGAATTTGAATTACAGAGCTATAAAACTGTTTTGAATCAATGGCACATAACCAAGCCTAAAATCTAACAGCTGGTTTATTAGCTAGATGTTATGTGTTTAGTAATTACTTTATACAGATTATGTGCCCATTGTCAGAATGAGTAATCACACCATAGTTATATATCAATAACTGCCTATTAGTGTTTTTTTCTTTGAACTGTTCTGGTACAAATAAACTCCAGTCTTAGCTGGTAGTAAATATTTTGTAGCTATTATTTGAAAAGATGTCTATTATACAAGCTAGTGAAGTTAATGTTTAACAAATGGACAACTAATTCATCTCTTAGCTCAATCAAATTGTGGTCAGTAAATCTACCTTCTACTCTATTATTGTTGGTTAGCGGTCTTGTTCATGCACCAGATGCAATTTTTAGTACAGTGTGTGGTACACTATCTGCTTAATGATTCATGAAGCAGGTTGAAGATATAGGTGCACAAGTAATTAATTAAATCAAGGATTAGGAAAGACGGTAATAAAGGAGGGGCAGTGCTATAATCCACTGACCTGGAAAGGTGAATTTTGGAGTCAGATGTAAAATAATTTTCCCCTCTAAAGCTTGTTCCAAATGACGAGAATATTCCTAAAAAATCAATAGCTTTTCATTACTGAAAAATCAATATTGCATAAATGAAAAATGCGTAAGACAAAAAGGGATAATTGAAAATGGCCAAACATGTTGAACCAGAAAATCCCATAATGTCTGATTTTGTCTGTTAGATGCACAAAAAAACAATGTCTTGTATTTTCATGTGTGGTGAAAATTGTAAGCAGTCTCTTTGCTTTGGAAATCTAATAAGTGTGGCTAATATTTTTTAAACAAAATCTTTCCCATTTTTTTTATAAATTCCTGTGTTATTTTAAAGAACTTTGCCTGAGGAAAGGAGACTATACGGTGTCATAGCAGTGCTGCTGTCCCACAGTGTTTGACTCCGGAGTTCCCATTTGGACAGGGCACCTTCTTTGTGGCATTTGCTTCAGGACTTTTGGTTTCCTCTCTTCTCCCAAAGCTATTTATGCTTTCTAAGACAATTGCTTTCTCTGGTTTTCCCCCATATATGCATAAGTGCCCTGTCATGTAGTCTCATTGAGAGTTTGGTCCCAGCCTGCACTCTTTTCCATTCTGAGGGCACAACTGGAAACTACTTGCAAGTGCATTTAAAAGTGAGAAAAGGAGGCACTTCTTTTCCCAAAGGGTTATGGGAGAATGAAACAAGGTTTCTTTCATGAAACAACTTGATGAGTTCCTTGGGTCAGTTAACTACTACTAACTGAACAGCTGAGATGGACCATATGACTTCCTCTCATTTGCAGCCTTTCTTCAGCTTTTGACAGTACTGTATGTTTGGGCTTCCGTGCTACCAAACCACAGGTTCTAGTTTGCCGGAACCCTTACTGGGAATAATCAGTTTTTTCTATTATTGAAGGTTCAATTGTCCAAATTTAAGACAGAAATGATGGATCTAAGGAAATATATTAACAATGTCTGCTTTCATTGATTAAATCCACAATCCTTTGAAAGCTCTTAGAGGAGCACGGTGGCTTTGCAATGTGCACTGCTGACTCACAGCTCTTGGGTCCTTCATTCGATTCCCAGCTGGAGTGCCTTCTTTGAGGAGTTTAGATTTTCACCTTGTTTGTGTGGGGTTTTTTTCTGGATGCTCTGCTTTCTTCCCTCCTATTAAGACTGCCGGATAGGCTAAGTGCAGTCTCTAATTTTTTTATGATTTTGTGTGCCCTGTAACAGACTGGTGTCCCATTAAAGTTGTGGTTACTCCCTGTGTCTCCTGGGTTAGTTTCTGACTCTGTGTGACCTTCTTGGGGATGAAGTGGCTAAGAATAGTGGATGAATGTCCAGTATAAAACCCCTTAGTTTCCTTGAATTGGTTACAAGAGGATTGGCAATTGCTTTGTTTCCCATGTTCCCTGTTGCCTTGTCGTGTTTGCTGGCTGATTTCTCTTTTATACAGCTGTTTGCTTTTCATACTAAAATCGCAAGGACTTCAAAACCTCATCATACATTAAATATACTGTAGCTACATTTTTAGTTTTAATAGCTGCTATTTTATTTCCTACTCCAGCTCTATGTTTCTACGGACCTGGGAAGGAAATGGACTTTGCTGCAAGAAAGAGTAACAAAGGATCGTTTTTTCTGGTGAGTTTGCTGTTTGTGTGATACAGTATACAGTAGAGTCCTTTTAGAGTAGTTGTTCATGGAATTACAGTTATTCTACATGATAAACTGAGTGGATCAGTATTGTGTGTTCTTATGAAAAGCAGATTTACATCTGAAAGTTCAAGGGTTTTGAATTAAAAACCCTTTGTTTTGAAAAAAAAGCATTAATGTACTTATAAGTAATGTACAGTATAATAATATACTAATGTAATAGAAGCCTGATAGCATGATATCTAAAAGAGAAATACCTTCAGGAGATGCTTGGCTGTCGGAGGAAACTTTAGGTTAAAAGGTGTGCGATCTTTCCGTTTTAAAAATGAATTAAAGTTTTTCAAAGTTAGGTTGGTGTGGATATGACATATTTTATTCTCTGACCATTCTAGTATCTATCTGAAGCCCACATTGACTTAAATTATTTTAAAAATCATCTTTTCTTAATTTTCTAATTTCATTTTCACTGAATAAGCATCACTTCTTTAATACTGCAATTATCCCATAATTCTCTAAACTCTAAGTTACCAGGTACTTTTGCTGCAGAGGTGCATACTGAAGGCAATTGTACAAGAGATAAAGGGAAAATGAGATACAGTACATGATGACATTTTCAAAAAAATCATTAGGTTTATATAGCTCTATGTGCATCACTTTCCAGTGCCCTCCAAAAGTTTTGGGAGAGCAAAACCAAAATGTGTTTTTGCTTTACAGTCAAGAAAGGGTAGCCATGCATGTCCAGGCCATAAATTTACCTCCACTATGGTAAGGAATTTGCTCAGAAGACAGAAGGTGAGATTGAAGCATTATACAACAAAGATCGTTGGAAAGATGAGATTAAGATAAACCTTTTTCAAAGCGAGGGGAAGATTAAAGTGTGAAGACAAAAAGGGGCTTCTTATGTTCCAAAGAACACTACCTCATCTCAGGACGAAATGTCATGCTTTGGACATGCGTAGTTACTGTATCTGTATTACACACTGTATAACTATAATCCATGCGAAAGTAGCTAAAGCACATCTGTCCTTAATAAACATGGCAATAATTCTGCTCTTCAAGTTAACCCTTGGATCCTACTGAAGACGATGGTTAATAATAAAACTGCATACTGTATATTAATATAGGCATATTTTGTAACAGTTTACAATTGATATACAGTACTGTATCATTAAATGGGTATTGTAGTGTCTTAATTGGAATTTGTTGATATACATTAGAGAGAAACACACAGGCCTTTTTTTCTTTTAAATGTTTGTCATACTGTATTATAGAGCCAAGCTAGACTACAGCTTGCAGTATAACCATTTGTTATGGCCACTCTTTTCAGTCTTCAGAGCTTCATATGCTTTAAAATGCATAAAGCAACTTGCTTTCAACTGTATTGCTTTCAACTGTAATGCAGCTGTTATTTGAAATTCTTCCAGACTTTAAAAGAGGAATCTAGAACATAACTGAAGCAGAACATAACTGTGGGTTTCGGAACAGTATATTTCAGAACAGGTGTTTAGAGACTCATAATGTGGTGTAGTCTTTTTGGCATGGCACATAACTTTTATAGGCTTAATTAGGTAAACTAGTTAATTCATTAAAACAATTTAATTCATTGGTAGAACAAAGTTGGTAATTTCTGCAGTTTTGCTATTTTGTCACTCATTACACTGACCACCAAAATAAAAAATACCATACCTTTTGCAAAGAACTAAACAGTTTTATTTTTGATGTATACAGTATGTGCCAGGCACATACAACAGTTTAAATTAGAAATGTCCAGAAATATGCTTTAGGAGAAATCAATAATAAAATGAAAAAAGAAACAAAATCAGATCTAAACATCCTGTGTTTTCTTCTGCTATTGTTTTATGTAAGCAGGCCTAACAGCAGTAGGTCTTTACTCTTCGATTTGCACCATCTGGAAAGCTCTTTAAAGTTCTCTGTAACTTAAAGCTTCACGAAAAAACAGAAAGAGTTTAATATTGCTTTTGGAATGCGTCTGCAGCCTTGATGGATTTTTCTTTCAGGAGCAGAAAGCATGGAAACTTTTTTTGTCTTGATATGGTGTGTTTTGTAGATTGAGGTGAGCTGAATTCAAAGACTCTGCTTGCCGAAATACATATGGATACATTCGCAGTAGGCATTGCCTTTTCTGTTCTTGTTTTTAAATGGGTTGCTGTTAAATTAATGTTTTCTAAAGCTTAGCTGAATAGGAATTTTAAAACATAAGCATTTGTCCAAGTAAATAAATCATGTAATACAGAGCATTGGGAAGTACAAAAGGCTTTCATTTAATCGCAGTCTTTTTTGCTTTCGGGCCAACACGTAGAAGAGTTTTTAATCAAAAGATATTTTTGGCTTTAATTATGTTAGTGAAAAACTGCTTGTTGAAAAACAGCAAATGATTTGGAACGTTATTGCTTTAAATGATCAGAATGTAAGTTCTAATCCAGTTTAAATGCGAAGTAGTCAGTTTCACAGGAGTTTACACATCCCTGTGATTTTTCTTTTACATATTTTAGGCTAAGATATTTGTACAGTCCAAAGCTGACATCTACAGTTTCTTTGTGTCTTGCACATTATTTCTTGTGTGCTTCTCTGGTGCACCGTTTAAATTACTTGATAAATAATACAAGTACCTTCTTTGATTAAGGTTTTCCTTCTTCTGTAACTTACTAAATAGTAGGAATTTCTGATGTTATAGGAAACAGAAATGCATACAGTATGTGACACATTAAATACATAACAGTTCAGCACTGGAAAGCAGTCAATATGTGAATATGCAAAGAAACAATGCAGGTATCTTACTTAACTGCATTACTGTAGGGTTTTCAGAACCCCGCAATCAACAGTTCATAAAATCATAAATCAAATAGGTAAATGTCCTTGTTGTTGCTTAAACGTACCAAATACCTGCAGTGCTCCTTAAAATTCTGTCTATTGCCTACACATTAGGAACTGCACTGAAGTACAACATTTAGAACTCGGGTCTGTTTTCTTTTCATCAAGAAGAATTAATTTTGTTGCTACAGTCCTGTGAAGAATTAACTATAACTTAATTAATAACTTCTCTGCTCTGTGATGTTAGTATTTACCTCTGAGATAAGTATATAGAAATTCTTTCACTTGGCACACTCACAGGGACTGCTTTAGACAGAAGGGAACATACTGTAGGATTTCTCTGATATAAACAGTAATGGTCTCCCTTCAGATGCTCTTTTTTCTAATTTTGCACTACAGTGTTTAAAACATTTATTTCTACAACCATTGAATGCATTGCCTGCAGTTTGTCAGTATCCCTTTGTTGTGTATATATATTGTTTCGGTAATGTCCACATAGAACACCTACATTGTAAGATGGAATGGCGATGCAATAGTTAACATTGTTACCTCGCTGGACAGGGATCCTGGGTTCAATGCCTGGGAATTTATCCGTCGGGTGTTTGTATGTTTTTCCCTTGTTCTCTTGGGTTTTCTGTGGGTGTTTCAGTTTCCTCCCACAGTCCAAAGATGCTGGTAGGTTAATTAGCTACAAAAATGCCCTGGTGTGAGTGTGTGTCTGTGTGTGCCTGGCCTCCTGTCCAAGGTATATTCTGCCTAGTGCCCATTACTTACCAGGTTAGGGTCCAGCTCCTCCTTTAACCCTGTACTGCCATAAGTAAATTAGAAAAAGGATGGATGGACCTACTGTATAATGTCAGCTTTCATTTTATTCAAATGTAAGGGAGAACCTGAATACCCCTACAAGTGAGTAAGAGAGTATTTTCAGCACTGTTTTATCAGTTGCAGGGTGTATAGATACTGTATAAAGCTGAGAGTACATTGAAGAGGGCAGTCAAACAGAGTGTGGTTCTGCTATTTCTGATTCTTTAAAACTATCTTTTTATGTATTTCTTGTTTCTGGCACTTTTCAACACCGTTTTGTGCATTGTTGTGCTCTGCTAGTAAGCCTAGTGTTCCTTGCCATATTTTAATTATTTTCTTAGAAGGCGATGTTGAAATCTACCATATGTTTTCATTAAAATTCTCATACTGTGATTTTGTTTGATGTGATAATGAACCGTGTGATAATAAACATCTTATGGTTTTCATTCCTGGTGGGCATTGTAATACACTCTGAAAACACTTTTTATATTTGATTTAATCAAGGAAAAAAAACGCATACAGGTGGTTATGCTGTCAACCACTATTAAGCTGAACGTTCAGCTTATTTATTGGCTGCAAGTTTGTAGTATAGCATTAATATGTGTGAAATGCAATAACTGGCTCATATAAAATGTATTTTGAATTGTGTGTGTTTTAGGTCTGTGGCAGGAGTTGATACTGATCCTGACCTGGTCCATATGGAAATGCAGGACACCAGTGGAGGTAAAGGCACTTAAACAAAACTGGTACAGCAAAAGATGAAAACTTACAGGACTGTTCTCTGTATCATATATTTCTAAAACAAAAAAGTTTTTAAAAAACAATGTGATTCTAATGTGTTTGTAATCTACTTTTTTGTCTTTGGGCAATATGCATGATATTTTTCCCCCAAACAAAAGTGAATAAACACAAAAAGAACACAGATGTGCCCAAGTAACAAGTATTGGGTTCATCATGAATTATTAAGGAAAATGCCAGATTTATTTTTAAATATCCCTATAGTAAAAAACTACACTACATGTAATGCATGTATCCAAAGAGTTTTCCTCAGCAATCACTCACTCAAATGGTATTTTATCCTTTCAAACTTTTCAAGCATGAAATCTAAACTACTCTATGTTATTAACACTTTCCCTACCTCGGTCTATAGATGTCATTTCATTACACATGCACTTCATACTGAATCTTCACCACTCCTGCAGCCTCACATTAAAGCAGGATTTATAGAAGGTATTCACATAGCAGCCTAAGTTAGAAGCTACTGTATGCTCTGTCCCTTTACCTTTAAGATAAGACAAGGTAAGATCACTTTATTGGCCATATACAATTTCTTGTATTAGGAATTTGTTTTTTTGCATACACTAACTTGCTCTCCATGAGACACAAAGAGAAAATAGACAGGGAGAGAAGCTTGGGGTCAGAGCTCAGGGTCAGCCATTTATATGGCGCCCCTGGAGCAGATGGGGTTAAGGCCCTTGCTCAGGGGCCCAGTGGAGTAGGATTCCTCTCCAGGCTGCAGGATATGAACGGGTCACCTTCTAGCCACAGGCACAGATCAGCCACAGAGCCACCACATCGCCCCAAAGGGTAAAAGATGCGTTGGCCGGGAATCAAACCCAGGTCAACTGCTGGCAGGTAGCTATGCTCACCAAGTATCCATTGTTACGCCCAGGAGAGACAGAACTCGCAGTGCTCAGTTTCCACCAAAACTGTGCACATTCGCACAGTGAGTGGAACATCTCCTGGATCTGTGTAAACTGTCCCAACCACAAACTGTACCTCCAATTAATGGGAGCTTATTCCATCAGTCCAGGATATTTAAACTCAGATCTTCCACTGGTTTGGTGCTCTGTCGTTGAGATACCATAGTTCCAGGATATCCCTCCACAACAAGCCCACTTCCCAGAAGGGTGACTTTGTCTGAATTCAGCCCGAATATTTCCCCATTAGTCTCGAACCCACTCTGCTTGTCAGCCCCCTGTCTGTCTGGCCAAGCTCCAGATCAGTGGCACAGAACCAAACCTCCCGTCTTTCATCCCTGCAAGACGACACAGCCACCCTGCCCTGATCAACCTTGATCGTTACACTCACCACCTGCTTCAGCTGTCTCCATCAGCTCTCGACACTCTCCTAGCCTTTAATATTGATCGAACTTTTAGATTCTTCCTCCTATCGGCAAGACACGGCTTCATCAGTCTACTTACAACATCACCACACCCATAAGATAAACCTACATTTTCCTTATAGATAACAGTTATGAACTCTGATTCATCAGAGAGCCTCTTCTTCCTGGTTATTCTAAGGATAAACCTGAGCCCCAGAAGCATAGGGTGCAAGGCACATACTGTACGCAAGCTTTCGAGAGACACCAAGTAACCTTATCTGCAATGTCTGAAATGTGCTGCACCTGCAGGAAACCCACGTAGCCTTGGCAGAATATACAAATCCCTTACAGTTGACACCCTGGTCAGAAATCGAACCCAGGACCCAAGAGCTGTGTGGCAGCAGCACTAACCACCATGCCACCATATACATCTGCATGTGCTACTGAAATACAGCTAAGAAAGGAAGATATAACATAAACTATTGAATACATGAAAATCTATTATGAATCTCAAAAGAAAGTGCAACAAAGATTTTTTTCCTACCTGCTGTTCCCATCAAAGTAATCACCCCTGTGATCAATAGCAGTTACACGTACATGTAGTTTAGTTGTCTGTTGAATTGGCTTTCATCTGCTCCATCCTAATAATCCCCAGAGCGTAGTTAAGGTGGCTGTTATCTTCTTTCTTACTCTTCTTTCAACCTTATCCTGTAACATGTTATTTGACTTGTCATTTGAGATCAGAAAAATAATGAGCTCCCTGATCATGGGGATGCATCTGGTGTTACGTACCTGCTAAAAATGTCAAGGGTAATCTTGTTACTTCGATCTCATATAACAGATTAATATTTCAATATGAATAGGAAAAAAAATCAGTCTTATATAAAGTGGCCGTAAATATAAAATATTGTCCTACATTAAAAAATGGGGAAAGGCTGCTAATTTATTTTATTTAAAATGCATTCTATCCGGCTCACCCAAATTAAAGATTCTTTATTACTAAGTCTTTAAGCATGCTGATAAGAGATGTTTAACCGTCTGTCCTGTTAAAATTTTCTGAATGCAATGAACAAAATAACGACAATTAAATTAAATGTGTTCTAACTAGATGTTGTTTAAAAAGAGCTGCTCAAAATTATATATAGCAAGAGATGAGACCCGAAAGCAATGAAATGAATATCAGTTGTGCCGATAATGAGACAAAGGTCTGAAAACAAACAAGAGGGTGAATCAAAATGTGTGTGGCCCAGCTGGATGACGGTTAGTTGCTTGAAGGTTAATGTATAATTGGAAAGAAAACAAAAGCACAAACACATTTGGGAATAGGCTGTTTGATTCCTCATTGTCAGGGGGTTTGCATTTATGTAAGAAGATGGAAACCAGTGATTAAGACTGAATAAAAAACATCACCAAATCTATGAGAGTTTAAATAGACCTCTAGTTTCACACTGTGGGATAGCGTGTTGAGTATCTTGTCCCTCAAGGCTTCAGCTACTTAGTAAGATGTTTAAGTAGAGTAAGTACTGAGAAAAGGAACTCTGCTGAAACACATTTGCTTCTAATAAGTACACCACCAATGTGCAGCCCCACCTGGATGATGCGACAGCAGCCATAGTGCGCCAGAACGCTCACCACACATCAGCTATCAGTGGGGAGGAGAGCAGAGTAATGAAGCCAATTCATAGATGGGGATTATTAGGAGGCCATGATTGGAAAGGGCCAATGGGCAATTTGGCCAGGACGCCGGGGTTACACCCCTACTCTTTTCGAGAAATGCCCTGGGATGACCACAGAGAGTCAGGACCTCAGTTTTACATCTCATCCAAATGGCGGAGCCTGTTTACAGTACAGTGTCCCCGTCACTATACTGGGGCATTAGGACCCACATGGACGGCAGGGTGAGCGCCCCCTGCTGGCCCCACTAACACCTCTTCCAGCAGCAACCTTAGTTTTTCCCTGGAGGTCTCCCATCCAGGTACTGACCAGGCTCAGACCTGCTTAGTAGGTGTCTACTTAGTATATTTTTGCTTTCTTTCCAATTATGCATTAGCCTTCAAGCATGTCTTTGAAACTGTGAACTGAAAGCATGGATACTTTTGCAGAGACAAAATATGCCTTTCAGGTCTGAATTGTTAGATATGAATATGATATGAATTATTATAAATACAAATGTGAAAACATTAGTCAACAATGTTTTCACAGACAAATACCTAAACATTTAACATAATGCATTTAACAGCCCAGGTATTGTTAAATCTTTTTTTATTTTATTTTTATTTTAGAAGGAACAATATTAATTTCAGCTTTCTAACTGTTAATAACATTTTTTTCTCACGTTGGCACAACATTGAAGGCTGTTGTTATTACTTTTATGTCTTGTCCTTTATAGTGAAGTACTGCAATTCCTGACCTTTTGTTTCTGTGTAGGTTTCCTGTATGTGACCTGTTTGATTCAGAACTGCTCTGACAAAATGGTAACAGCCCAATTCCTTGGCAAGATTGATGAAAACTCACTGACTGTGCAGGATGATTATATATTTGTGAAGGTATTGAATTTATTTCTATTTAGCTTTTTCCCTTTTGTGAGTGATTAGATTAGTAAATAATAAGCATTGTAATTATTGTTCATTATATCTGGGCTATATTACTGTAAGTATGGTATACTGTAGCATGGTACTATATGATGTATAGTGGCAAAGATAATATGATGTACAATAACAAAGATTCAATTTAGATACTGAAAATTCTTCAAAAACCTCACATCTGCATGTTATTTTGGGTAAATGTTACTGTAAGTAATTTTTTTTGTTCTATTCTCAAGTGAATTGATAATACCAGAGGAAACAATATTTAAGTGCCTACTTTTTTTCTATTTAAAATGGTTTTATTGTTCCTTTTTGGCATCTTGCATCTGTTTGGACCCTAAATTCAACTTTTAAGCACCCGCATTGTTGCTAGGCTACACTAACTTGTGTTTTCCAACATTTCTTTAAATACGGGATTTTTAAATAAGTAATGAAGTCATGACAAGTGCCATTACAGATATGCCCAGAGAATACACACAAAAGGACTGAGATTCCCATCTACAGTATTAAAATGCATAGAGTGGGGAAAATTGAGAAAACAAAACCTCTAGTTTTAATAAAAAGTAGAAACAGAATTGTGCTGTTATCCATTGAATAACTGGTTTCCTCCAAGATGGAAAAACAGTACTACTTACACATTGCGGTTGTTTGATGGTTGGAAATTACCTAACCGATTAAAAATTTGGACAATAAATTCAGGGAGTATCTTTTGCCTGCTTGGAATCAGAAACATTTACAGTAAGTCACATTATCACAGATGGCAACTGGTCAAGATGCCCTTAGGCATAGTGGTATCCCCATATGTCAAGATTCTCATTGGTGGATCATGTCCTGTCAGTGGATTTATGATGGGTGTCACTCTTGCCACTGTAGACCATGAGGCATTTTAGGCACATATTCATATTCACTGGAGATGTCAAGATGGACGCAATTATTGGTAGTCTAAATTGGGGTTAAGAGAGACCACATCCTGCTTTTCTGAGTCCTATCTCAGCAAGATTCATAAGAACCTGACTTTAAGGAGTTAAGCGCTTCCAGAGTTTTCAACTCAAGGCAACTGAGAATGATTACCCTTATAATCTTCCTGCACACTTAATTCTAAACATATTTGCAGCCTTGCTGTTACAGCATTATTTTGAAAACTGTAGATCTTGCTTCTTTGTCTTTAGAATCCTTAAGTGTGTAAACTGGCCACAGAATGGAATACATTTGAAACTTTAGGTGTACGTTTAAGTTAAAGCTGCATTAGAATTCCATAACTCAGTTTTCCCAAGTTTGTGAACATGACATTCCTATGGCCTCTTCATCCGGGATTCTTCTTTTGGAAATTACAACTAAGGCCAGTAATGCTGGCTGCCATGAGTTAATACAGCATTTGACAGGTGATGACAAGACCAAATGCAAACCATATGACAAATTAGAATTATGTTAGATGTATCCAAAAGTTTCATATACAGTATAACACACAAAGAATATTATGCAATCACTTATTGGGAAAAAACAACACAATTTACATAATGCTCTCTATACATGTTATATAAAATTGCTTTTCATTATAATGAGTGGATATCTGTGCTGTATAATGGAGCGTACTCATTACATTTTATTAAGTTTCCAAAAATAAGCCAGAGAGAAACTAAAGTCTCTTGACCTGTTGGAGGTCAAGAGATTGAAGAATAAACACACACCTCCAGCCTAGTCACCTGGCTGACTTGGTCTTTCACTACTGGTAATGCTAAAGGTCTTCTCTGCCATACAGTTGGATCTTAGTCCCTACTGGTTGTACCCGAGTTACATTTTTAAATTAATATCTTGTTAGTCTTTCCAATCTAGAGGTTACAGCCAACAAAATGAAAGTCAACTCTATTTGCAAGGAAGTGCCATTCCTGAACAATTAGGGTGCTAATGGAGGCTAGCCAGGCAGTTTTTGTCAGTTTATGTCAGCATGAGATAGAACTGCCACCAGAGTGAGGTGGTTATACTGACAAGGCCTGAACATTCATACTATGCATCAACGTTATACAATTTTAATGAGATACAATGTTAACAAGCATTGATCTGAAAATAAAGTCAGATTGGAAAAAGAATAAAACAATACAAGTGTTCAGCACAGGCATATTTTGAACACGTACTGTATATTTAATCATTAACATTGTTGCAATTAGTGAACCATTAGTTTTATGTGGTGTTTATATTCCTTTCTTCTGCTTCTATTTTATTTACTTAGCATCATGATTCCTTATAAAAGGACCTGTTGGGAGAACTGTCTGCTTTATGCTTTAAGCTGTTTCGTCCACACGAGGTTATCCCATTTGTGGACTAAACGGGATAGGTATACATCCCTTTGTCATCCTTTTCTTTGAAAAGAGGCCAGTAGGAGACAGTTTGATCTAAGAACATCATCACCTCCACTGATAAGTAAGAACATAAGTCAAAGCTCCATTGTGAAAGAAATTATCAAGTAATTAATTAAAAAAATGTTTTTTTCTAGTGTTACAACCTGAAAGAAGACTACAGGATTCTAGGTGATATTCAGTATGGATTTAGAGGAAGCAAGTCTTGTTTAAAACGTATTTGAGTTTTTTCCAATATCATTAGCAGTAATGGATACAAATAGAGCATATTGTAACGCAACGGGGGCTCAGGCGGGCGCCCTTGCCGCATCTGGTCGGCCCCATCCCGACTGGAGGCTCGAACCCGGGACTTCCGCGTCTCTCTGCAGCGACCTAGCCCCGTGAGCTAAAGAGAGATCTCTCCACAGCCCAGTAGCTGTGGTCCTGCTATCACAGGGAAGGGCGGTGACGTCACCCGCTCTGGTACGCCGGCTCTTACACACAGTGCTTGTCGGCCGTAAGCGTTACAATATTATAATATATTTAGGATTTCAGAAAACATTATAAAATTCCTCAAAAAGGTTGGAATTAAATTGAAGACAGTAGGCATTAAAGGTAATGTATTTTTGTAACTGAGAACTAGTGATGTAATTGTGGACTTCTGTGTTTACTTAAGTGTATGCTGGGGAACTTGTAGGCACTTCTGCACTCATTTCTGTGTTATACAGTTATAACGTTCAGTCGCAGTTTTTCAATTAAACTTTAAAAGTAAAGTATGTCTTGTTATTGATCACTGTAGCTAATATTTGTTCTCTGGTTATTTTCTGTGAGGCTTTTAATCACTTGAGATTTTATCAACCAACATTAAAAAAATAAGCAAGTGAATATCCATTGTTCTGGGTATAATATACTGTACATTCTGGATTTCGCTGATCATGCTTGGTATTTCTTTAACATGACAAAATAGTAAGAATCCTGCCAAATTTCAAAATACTATATTCTGTCTTCCAGGGTGGTTGTGGCAGAGGATAAATTTTAATTCCTGGATAATCTCTCTTGATTCACAAATCAGTGTCACATTTTCATATTTTTACATCAAGTTCTCCTCTTGTTTGTTTTATTTTAGACTTGCATAAATTTCAGAGTTTGAGGTTAAGAAATGCTGACAATTTCTCCTTGAAATGCTGCGAAAAGACTTTAACAAAATGCATGGAAAGTTGTACTTTTTGCTATTTTTGAGAAGCTTTGTAGGCAGCAAACCTGAATAGCCGTTATGATTGGTTGTTGTTCTAAACAGCAAATGAGAATTACTGTGATTTGTTTTGACATAATGCATTGTGTGCCATCATTCTTTGTATGCATTTCAACACAAATAGGGAAGGGCAAAGCTTAATACTGCTTTTGCCAAGGTGTATGATAGCACCTTTTGTTCAGGTGCCATCATAGATGGTACACATCAGTCATCAAGTCAAGTAGAAAATGGCAAATGTACAGAGTAATGAGCCTTACAATGTCTAACCAACACCAAAAAGACTAGAAATGTCATATACAGAGCAGATGTAGCTATTTATAGTTGTACATATACAGTACATAGTAATAAAATGTGGGTAGTATATATTATGGGACTATTTACCAATGTTCCTATTAACTTAGAGATTAATGATTGTTTTGTTACTTTCTCCTAAAGGTAACCACTGGAAATCGAACCAAGCACTACGTCTCTTACCGACGAAATGAATTTGTACAGATGAGATTCCCAAAATATGCTTTACCAAAGGTACCTCTTTTTGTTCATAATAAATGTTCATAATAAAATCCAAATTCCATCATTTATAAACTTAGTATTGAGGGCAATAAATTGTGTTTGTATGCTTTTACTTTAATACATACAGTGTACCATGTTGTACTTATTTTGTCTGAATTATACATTTAATATGGTACTTTTAAGCCCAAGAGCTGTTCTATCAATTGATACTGAAACCTCTGTGCATAGTAATAAGTAGGTCTATGTAAAAACATATAGGTATCTAAGAAATCATTAAAAGCATCATAGTGATACTTTTAACATACAGTATATGTTCTCCCTTTGCAGGCATTAATTGGTATTTTTTCCCAGGACTTACACTTCTGTGAAGTATATAGGCGGCACTTTCAAATGCATATCATTTATGATTAAAAATAAAAAATGGGACAAAGCTGTTAAAGCCAGTTTTCATCTGTTAATAACTGTTTTTTTTTTCATATTGCAGCCAATTACTGGTGTGCAATTTAATGTCCCAGAATTGTAAACTAAAAGTTGTTGGTTTGCTATTCTAAAAAAAATACACAGTTCTCAGCCAAGTAGACCACTTGCTATTTGTTAGATTTCCTGTTAGTTTTACATAAATTTTGGTTTGTTTCTGTTTTTTCATATTTTGGTTTGTGCTGATAGTGGCAGTTTCAGTAAGTGCATTCTAAAGTGTTGCTGCTGGGAAAAAAACTTAAATATAACTCCTAGTTTTCCACACTAAAAGTACCCAGTACTTCTAAAGTTTTTTTTAATGTGACAGTAAGCCCAGTAAATGTAAGGGTAACACAGAAGAAAAAGATAACACATAGCATAACAGGATTACCTACAGGTACACAGAGAACTGCATTTAAATACGGATCTTATAAAATACTGAATGTGTGAAAGGAAGGATTATACTATTTACTACAACTTTTCCTTGTACTTTATAGTGTATGTACAAATAATATACTGCAATTGTTATTCAGTGTTGTTTATATAAAATGTGTGCAATTGCCTTCAAACAACAAATTGCTCAATGGGCCACCTTTACAAATATCCTGAAGGAGTTATCATGGTCTGTTGAATTAAGTCACATTATGGATAACATCATTTAAACCAAGCGTGTTGACCCACTGAGGAAAACAACCAAGCTCCAGGCAACATTTTGATTTAATTGAATGATTAACTGAGTTTATTTTTCACTCATCACCCTCACAGCCATTGTTTTAACACTTTTACATATTTCAGTGTCTAAATTTAAATTGTGTTTAAATGCACACCCATGTACCAATGAGTAGTTTAACATGCAACAGTATATTTTCAGCCCTCAAAATCAGACATGAACACAAGGCTATCTTCCAGCCTCCTGTTTGATATCAGTAGTGTCAGATGCAGGACTCATATGCAGAGAAACAATATTTACTTCAGAAAGTCTGCTGTGTTCTGAGGTGTAGAGTATATTCTAATACAGCACTGATCTGTATAGTGCATAGATATACATGTGTGTATTAATATTATATAGATGATCCATAAAGCAATGAAAATACTTCAATAAAGTCAATAAAACAAAAAAGCTTTCAACTACTGGAAATGGCAAATTAAATGCTCTTGTGTGTCTCTTGGCTCTTGGCTTGATGTATATTGTGATGCCTCTTGGGGTGTGATAGTAGAAGCACATTACTTTCCCAGACAGGGAAAATGTCCGCAGACACTTAACCATGATGACAGATGGCAGCATGACATCAAGTCTAGAACTAGGCAAAGGTGTGTGTCTTGATTCAGCCAGTGTAAATCAACAGCAAGATCAAATGTGAAAGAATACACTATATCCCAAAATTAAAGCATGGGACAAAACAATGATAGTTTGTAAATAAAAACGCCTTCTTTTTGTTACTGCTGATGAAGGAATGATTACCTCTGGAAGTTTGTGAACTGAAAAGTGGTACTGAGAGAATTACCTGCATTATGCCAATTGCTTATCTGTTTTTTTTAGAGAGTCCTGCTAAAGGGAGATGTAAACTGGGAAAAAGAAAAACTGAACATTACACTTAAACAAGACATAACTGAATATTACACTTAAAGGATATCTTGGAGAGCGGGAAGAAAAAGAAGACTGAGAAAAGCAAAACTAAGAGATGAAATAGAACACAGAGAAAAATGAAAGTTAAAGAAAACTAACAGAAGGAAGACATGCAATTAAGAAAATAAAAGGAAAGCCAGATTCAAAACGAGACATATTATGATGAAGATTTATTTGATTTTTTTTTGTTTTCAGTGCAATACAGCAAGATTTTTGTTACATATCAGGGGCAGAATAGTATTTAGTTAGAAGAATAAGGGAGGTAGAAGCTCCATCCTAAAGCTAGCCTTTTATTTGCCAATATACTTTTGTTGCTCTTTTGTTATCTAATTTGTACTTAAATAGAAGTGCTGTTAATTATATCACTGCTTTTGGAAGGTTTTTCTCAAGACCTATTAAAAGTCCCATATGATGACTATACCCCCAGTGGCATCACAATATGTACTGAGGGTAGAGATTTCATGTTAATTTCTAATTCATTTGTGTAATCTTAAGTGCAGCTTTTTATCTTCATTTGCAGTTTGTGTGATACACTGACGGACACTAATGTTCCATTATGGTTATAACATATTGAGGCTCCTGAAGTTTGATACCTGATATTTAACTGAATTACCTATAGTGTTTCCTTAGACTTAGTAGATCAAGAGAAGCAAACTGAGCAGGGATTTAAACCTCTAATGGGAAATGAAATCTGGTAATTTAAACTAATAGCTCCTTAAATCATTTTTCCTATGTGTTTCAACAATAGCCTCATTCATTTTGCCTTTGCTTAGTTAACAAAATGACAGTAATAGTAAAAACTGCTCTCAGTCAATTATCAGGAAGTACATAACTTACTCACTAGTCATTTAATATAAAACAGAATATATACAATATATTATAGTTATGTGATGCTATTTCAGTCCACAAAGTTCTTCAGAAATCAAACTGATCTATATAATGTTTGTGTGTATGGCAGTAATAATTTCAGGCTTGCTGACAAACCAAGAATTCTTCATCTTGCTCTAAAAAATGTAATGGGATTCATAATGAGTACAATAAGAGATGAGAATCATACTGTCTGCTTAGTATTGACACTGTTATAAATCTGCAAATGAAATCAGCTTTGAAAAAAGATATTCATAGGAACTGTTGCATTTAACCTGTAGAGGGACTACTGATCAGCTTTTGTCAGGAAACCTTAAAAGAACTGAAAATGCAGCCTCAACATAACCTCAGTTCTTCTGTATGCATCATCATTTTTACACTGGGGCTGTTTACATATATTAAGGACATGGAAAAGAAATTCCAAAGACAAAAAAATCACTCAATCTTCCATAGGGCTTTTCACAAGAATAATAACCAGTGCTGAACAAAAATGAAAAATAATAAGAAAAATAAAAAATACAAAAGTAAAAACAAATGCTGAAAGACAAATATATGAATAAAAACTCTTTGTAAGTGAAAATGTACAGTAATTTTTTTCTTGCTTCAAAAACATCAAAAGAGGGAGCCCCCTTATAAAAAGAACTAATTTAACAAGACAAGTGAAGTGAGAACATATTCTCATTTGTAATGGTGAGCAATAGAGTATCAGTTTAAACAGTAGACCTATGGTTCCCAATCCTAGTCCTGTATCTCTTGATTAAAATTGCAGCTGAACTTTGTTGGCTTAGCTTGTCAAACATTTAAAAGGAACTGTGTCCCTGTAGTTTAAAACCATTTCAGTTCTTAAATAATAGAACAAGGTTAGATGTTTTCTTGAAATTTGTGCCAGATGCTGGATTTCAAGTCTCTTTTCACTTAAAGTTAATAATTCTAGTTTTAAGTGTTATAAACAGAAGCTTATCATGCTTCAGCTTTGAAACATACAAAAGCCCTTCGGCTGCAGATGGCGCTGTGTGCATCTCTTCTAGCTCTTGGCATTTTGCTTTGTCACAGCTGGATGTGTTTCACATTAGTCATTGCCGGGACCTTATCTTCATCACATTCATCTCCTACAAGGGATGACCAGAGGCACTTTCTCGGCTCTTCAGTCTTTTCAAACTCAACTCTCCACCAAAAACCAGCATCTTTTTTTACTCCCATGCCATATGCGCTTTTCTTTAACTTCTCCCGATGTTGTCAAGCCTTCCAGAAATTGAACAACTATGGCAATTTTGTCCCCCTTCTTTTACCTCTACATATCAGGTTGAGCACCTCAGCCCATATTTTTCATTTTGTCTCTCCCATCTCCAGTACTTCTTTGCTCTGTACCTGCAAGAGCCCCAAGTCACTGACTCCCACTCTTCTCCACAAGTGCGAACACACCCATCAGTCTGCATTGGATCTGCTTGTCCTCATTCATTCCCACGCTGTCCCTAGTTTTTGTTGATTTTGAATTTTCTCCCTGTGTTCGTATATTTTATGTCTTAGTCCTCCAAAGGCATGCAGAACTAGTTTGATTAGCTATGCTAAATTGTCCTTTTCTCCATGACTCTTTGATGGACTGGCATCCTTTCCAGGATAATAGTAGACATACTTTTAGCACTGCCTTACCCCCTATGCTTTCAGGATAAGCTCCAGTTGCTGCAGCTTTCACCAGGACAAGTGGATTTCTGATGCTGGATGGGTCACTTGGTGTGTTAACTAAAGTAACTTTGTAAGTTGTCCTCATTTTGCCACATGCATGTTATCTTATAAGAATACAATAGAGTCTGCTAGATTCAGCTACTTCTCTCACATCATTGAAAATAACTATGACAACCCTGGATACCTTTCCTACACCTTCAACAGAGTGCTAAAGCCAAACTGCCCCACCACATTGACTCATCCCAACTTTGTAACACATTTTTAGATTTCTTTACCTCCATGATCAACAACATCCAGCATCACATTCTTTCCGCATGTCACTTCCACACCTCCTCCCTGCTTGCCTAAATTTACTGGTTCCCTTCTCTCTTCTTGACTC